TGGCTTCTTCTGGAAGAGCTCTTGCACAAGAGGGCTTCTTCCTGAGCTAGAGCATCATAGTACTGGCACAAGAAGCCCTGATTTTATACATTAGAACATCAGTTTACGTGTGCAAAAACACACGACCAGTGTAGACAGGCAGCAAGTTTTTGCGCAAGAGCGGCCACTTTGGCACAAGATTGCGCCAGTATATACAGCCTTCAATACTATTTCGGTATACTGGTGTAAGTCAGCTGGAAGAAAGATCCCAAAGTAACCTTACATTTGCAGAGAAACTCAGGCCCTGTTTCAGGAAAGTATCGTTTGACTCTAAACATTCTTCAAGGTAAACACCTTCTTTAGTGCCATCCTGAGTCATCACCACAATTTCTACAGATACTGGACAATATAAGATTAAGAAAAATTGTACAGATTTCAGTACTGAAGCCTTATTTGAGTGTAGACATAGGGTACGTCTAGACTACATGCCTCTGGCGCCAGAGGCATGTAGATTAGGCTACCACATAGTAAAATAAAGTGGTGATTTAAATAATTGCCGCTTTTTGTCAACCTCCCTGGTATGCCTCCTGCAATGAGGTTTACCTGGGAGGTCAACAAATGCCTTTGATGTCAACCGCGGAGCGTCCAGACTACCACACTGAGCTGACAAACAGCTGATCGGCTCAGCGCAGCAGCCATTTATATTTAAATGAATTGGCGATTATTTAAATCGCTGCTTCATTTTCCTATGCTAGGTAGCCTAATATTTTACTATATCTAGACTACGACATGTAGTCTAGATGTACCCTTACTGGATGACTCAGGAAATCTACATCTGGATTCAGTTTCAAAGAGGTTCCCCTAGACTGGAGCTCTCAGCTGCTGTAGGCAAAGGGGGGGGAGAAGGAGGAGGGCCTGGAGCTCACAGCAGCTGGTGGTGGGGAAGCCCAGAGCTGTCAGTTGCAGAGGTGGAAATCTCCAGCCCCTCTCAGAACAGGGCTCAGGCTCAAGCTCCCTTTTTTTGTCACTTTTTCTTGGTAAGTCAGGGACAGGTAGCAGGCATCTGTGGGTTTATTTTTTTTTTATTGACCACAACCTGTCTTTACCTTTTACTAGGAAAAACCTGCTAAACAAAATCTTAGGCTTAATAAATAACACTGGGGTGGGCAATAATTTGAAGGGGGAGAGAGGGGAAGACATGCCAAGAATCTGGAAACTGGTCAAGGGGCACAATCTTCCATGATATGAATGGAGATACAGAAGGGATCTTGGATTAAGGGACTGGGGTGTGGAATCTGGGAGGGAGTTGTGACCTGAGTTAGGGGACTGTGGTGCAGGATTTGGGAGGGATTTTAGGCTCAGAAGGAGGGTTTGGGTTATATGGGGTAGAGGCGCAGCACTGGGGAGTAGAGGAATGTGGGGAGGAAGGGGCTGGGGTGCCAGAGGCAGGCTCTTGCCAGTAGACTTCCTAGGTGATTCCTAGACAGCAGCTCAGCAAGTTTCTCAAGCTGGCTCCCTGCTTTCCATGCTCCTGCATCCACCGCAGAGGCCATGGGTCTGTGGCTGAGGGGAAGACATGCCAAGAATTTGGAAACTGGTCAAGGGGCACAATCTTCCATGATATGAATGGAGATACAGAAGGGATCTTGGATTAAGGGACTGGGGTGTGGAATCTGGGAGGGAGTTGTGACCTGAGTTAGGGGACTGTGGTGCAGGATTTGGGAGGGATTTTAGGCTCAGAAGGAGGGTTTGGGTTATATGGGGTAGAGGCGCAGCACTGGGGAGTAGAGGAATGTGGGGAGGAAGGGGCTGGGGTGCCAGAGGCAGGCTCTTGCCAGTAGACTTCCTAGGTGATTCCCAGACAGCAGCTCAGCAAGTTTCTCAAGCTGGCTCCCTGCTTTCCATGCTCCTGCATCCACCGCAGAGGCCATGGGTCTGTGGCTATAAGCAGGGCTTGACAAATCATGTAATCTACTTGCCTCTGGTGAGTAGATTGCACTGTGCCAGCTTGTAATCTGCACATGTGAAGTTTGCAGAACTGTGCGGCTGGTGAGCAGGGCTCGCCGCTGCTTGGCGAGCCCTGGCTATAAGCAGGAGGGAAGAGAAGAGGAGTGCACTGTGCACTGCCTGGTCTTCAAACAGACCACTCCCACTGGCTGAAAACTGGCCAATGGAATTGTACAGGGGCAGCATACAAAGCCTGTCCCCTGGGGAAGCAGGGCACTGCAGCTGCTTTTGAGTGGAGTGCAGGGGCGGGCAAGCAGCTTGCCTGAGGCACCCCACTGTGCTTAAAAATTTGCTTTATATTTAGAATATTGTGCTGTATGCAAGTGCTATTACACGTTCAGTTTTCCTGTCATTGCATTTCACCTGCAGTTTCTTTGTGGGAGTCAAATTGTGGGCATCAGCTCAATCTCAGTACTCATGTAAAGGCTCCTCTATTATGAATTCCTGTAACTAGTTAGGGGCTGACCTGTAAATGAGTTGCTTTACTTACATGAGTAGTTTCTGAGGTCCTGAACTGGCTAAGCAATCACAGAAATTGATGGTAGCCCAGGGTGCTCAGCAAATGGCAGTAACCATCTTATTAGGTATCTAAGATGGTAACTTCCATATCCCGGAGTCTAGGAATGGGGTGGGGTTGGGGGAAGAGGAGGCAGAACAACCCTTGCTGCCCTCTCCAGGTGCCTCTAGTAGTCTCTTGGGCTGTGCTTAGGGGAGGTGCAAGAGCAGGAAGAGGTAGGGTGGGGCAGAGCAGGGTCAGGGCTTTGTGGTAGGAGCAGAGTTGTCCTGGACCTTGCAATCCTGAAAGGGGATTGGTCCTAGTAGGAGGGTTCAGGTTTCTTTATAGCCCCATACCAAGGCTCTAGACACTAGGCTGTCAAGCCACTGAGAACCAGGGATATAAAATTTTGGTTAACTGGTTAAATCTTGGAAAGAACATTATGTAACTGATTAAATTTGAGTTTAGGCACTAAGGGTGCACAATTCACATGAATACAAAAATTATTCAAGTATTTGAAGTTATAGCAGGTGCATTGAAAAACAAACTGGGGCTGTTTAGTCAGGAAAAGCAAAGACTGAGAACTACTTTCAAATAAAGATTGTTACAAGGAGAAGGGAGACAATTGTGTTCCTTACCCTCTGATCGGACAAGAAGCAATGGACTTAAATTGCAGCAAGGGAGGTTTGTTGGACATTAGGAAACACTTCCTAACTGTCTAACCTGCTCTTAAGTCTCCACTGAGTGAGATTCCACAGCCTTCCAAGGTAATTTGTCAGTATGGTTAACCACTGGAATAAACACCTTGCAGGGATGGTCTGGATCAGTTTCTCAAACGGGGCTCCACAGAGCACAAGGGCTCCGAGACCTCTCCAGGGGCTCTGCAAGGTTGACAAACTGGAAGCATCGATAGGTACAACACATACAATCAGTGGACTGCTGGGGCTCCACATACATTTTTACACATGTAAAGGGCTCTGGCGCCCAAAAGTTTGAGAACTACTGATCTAGATAATATTCATTCCTGCCCTGAGTGCAGGGGATTGGACTAGATGGCTTCTAGATCCTTTCCAGTCCTATGATTCCACAATTAAATGAAACCGATATCAGAAGACTGGGAGCAATAGAGATGAGTTCTTTGGAAGACAGCTAGCTATGCAGGGATGCGAAACTGCATTTAAGTAAAGGTGTAACTGTAGCAAATTTATTCAAACCATCCTCAGGAGACTTATGCTGTCTTCCAATACATTGCTGCATAAAATCCTTTTCTGTGCATGCTTCTTTTGTTACAAATAACAGGTAAAAAAAAAATCTAGAACTATTCCACTGAAACTTAAGACAGGCTTAGCTTAAACCCATGTTTCTCAAACTGGGTCCTGGCCCCTCCCACCCCCTCAGGGAGGGTCACAAGCAACTTCAAGGGGGTTGTGGTATCAAAGTTTGAGAACTCCTGGTTTAAACATCTCTGACCGGAATCATCTGTAATAAACCAGCAGAGGGCACTCAAGTGCCAACAGCCAATTCTGGGAGGACCAGTGGCATGTGTAACCCTAGGTGTGGAGATCTTTCAGGGCCTATGTCAAACTGTCTAGAACAGTGGGTTTTTCCAGCCTGGGGATCCTGGGATGGACTTAGGAAGGTTGCAAGTGCAGGGCCCGCATTAGGGAGTGGCAAGCAGGGTGGGGGTTGCATGCCACAGAGAACCTCATGAAATTAAGTTACATAATTCAGCCCCAGGAGGCAGGGTTTGGGTTTGGGCTCTGGGCAGCAGGGCTAGGGTTTCAGACTCTCCAAAGTGGTATGGTAAGGCAGTCTCTCCTGTCTCCAGAGAACAGAGTTTACAGGGGCCATAGTAGACTCCTCCAGCCAGAATTTTCCTTTGACTCAAGGTTTCAGAGGGCATGACCAATTTTAGGTCAAAGCTCATCTAGTCACAATAGCAGAAAACTGTTTCAGGCTCCTAGGTCATGTGCTTCAGTATACCAGAGTGCCTCAATTCTATAAGGCTGGCTACCCCGTCTAATCACCAAAGTTGTCAAAATCTAGACTCCGTGGGGAGGGTGCCCTCTCATATCCTCACTTCCATAGATTGGTGGACAGTGGGTGTTCCCTTTCCCTGCCTGTAACCAACACTCAGGTTAGTGATGGACACTTCAGCCTTTGGCTGAATGGGGCCCTATTGGGTTCTCTCAGGCCTATAGTGTAATAAAGCCAAGTCTTCTCCACATCTGCATCAGTTAGTGGAAAACTGTCAGGTTAGTATATGAAGATTTCTTCTTTGAGTGGTTGCTCATGTCCATTCGAATTAGGTGTGGGAGATTTAGGAAGGGGTTTGTCCATGTCTGATGCAAGCTCGCTGGTGACTGACAATCCAATGCAGGACAGACAGATTCGGCCGCAGTGGCAGCAAGGGAAATTCTGTTCTGAGTTTAGTGCTGCCCTACGTGTATTCTCAAAGGAGGAGAGCCTGGTGAATGGTGCGTCTCCAGGCCTCGCGTTCTGAGGCTAAAGCAGACCAATGGCGGTGGTCAATACGACAGACGCCAAGGGATTTCTTCAGAGTCCTTGTACCTCCTCTTCGGTGCGCCTCTGCTGCGGTGGCCAGTGGCAAGTTCGCCATACAGCACAATCTTGGGCAGGCGATGATCCTCCATCCTGGAGATGTGCCCTGCCCAACGCAGCTGTGTCTTCAATAGGATGGCCTCGATGCTGGTAACCTCCACCTGTTCGAGGACTTCAATGTTGGTGATGAAGTCATTCCAGTGGATGTTAAGGATGGTGCAGAGGCAGCATTGATGGAAGCGCTCAAGGAGATGCAGGTGATGCTGATAGGTGACTCACGACTCGAAACAGTACAAGAGGGTACTCAGTACAACGGTGCTGTACACACTAATCTTTGTGCCTTTCTTTAAATGCTGCTTGTTCCAGACTCTCTTATACAGCCTACCAAATGAACAGTTTGTCTTTGCCAGTCTGTTATCATTCTCTTTATCGACCTTGGCATCCGAGGAGATGATACACCCCAAATAGCTGAACTGATGAACTGTCTTCAGCTCTGACTCGCCAATGGTGATGCAGGAAGGGTGGTAATCTTCCCGAAGTGCGGGCTGATGGAGAACTTCTGTTTTCTTCAAGCTGACTTCTAGTCCAAAGAGTTTGGCAGCCTCTGCAAAGCAAGATGTTATGCACTGCAGTGCTGTCACCGTGTGAGAAACAAGGGCAGCATCATCAGCAAAGAGTAATTCTCTGAGTTGCTGCACTTAGTATGGGCCTTTAGTCACCTCAGGTTGAACAGACTGCCATAAGTATGGTATTGGATATAGACACCATCTTCATCAAGTTCTACTCTCTTTGAAGCATCATACTGAAGAAGATCGTGAAGAGAGCTGGCGCAAGGACGCAGCCTTGCTTTACACCATTGCGTATTGAGAAGGGCTCAGAGGTCAGTGCCATGTCTGACTTGGCCACGCTGGTCTTCATGTAGCTGGATGATCATGTTGAGGAACTTTGGGGGACACCCTAGTCGCTCCATGATTAGCCACAGACTTTTTCTGCTCAGTGTCTAACACTTTAAGGTCGACAAGTCACGTACAATCCCTTGTTCTGTTCCCTACATTCTCTTGTAGCTGTCTAAGAACGAATACCATATCGATGGTACTCCTTTTAGCTCTGAAGCCACACTGGCTCTCTGGAAGGAGTTCTTCTACAATGGTGGGCATCAAGCTGAAGTACTCTTGCAAGAATTTTTCCCATGACAGAGCAGAATTTTCTGCTGTACATCAAGGGAAATAGCCCATTAGTCCTCACAGGCAACACAGCAGCAATATTCTACCTCCACAAGCAGGGAGGAGCCCTGCTTTATTCTGTCACCAGACAACTCTGCTTTGGGAGATTTCCATTGCCAATTCACTAGAGCTAGAAGCTTCTTAATTATCAGGGTCCAAAACAATCTGGAAGAATGCTTAAGGTCATTCATGAACTACCACCAGGGGTCTCGTCATCCTGATGTAGATATCTTTGAAGGGGTGAGATCTCCTCAAGCAGACCTTTTCAACAGAAAGGCTATGTCTACACTTGCAGCTTCTTGTGTGAGTAATACACAAATGAGGCTAAGCGTGGAATATTGCCATGCCTCATTTGCATACCTAATGAGCCACCATTTTTCCAGAAGAGGCTCTTGCACAAGGAGCATCTACACTGCCCCTTCTTGTGCAAGGAAAAGCCTTTTTGCGCAACGCCGTTACACCTGTTACTTTTCAGGAAGAACGGCATTGCGCAAGAGGGTTTTTCTTGCGCAAGAAGGGGCAGTGTAGATGCTCCTTGTGCAAGAGCCTCTTCTGGAAAAATGGTGGCTCATTAGGTATGCAAATGAGGCCTGGCAATATTCCACGCTTAGCCTCATTTGTGTATTACTCACACAAGAAGCTGCAAGTGTAGACATAGCCTTTCTGTTGAAAAGGTCTGCTTGAGGAGATCTCACCCCTTCAAAGATATCTACATCAGGATGACGAGACCCCTGGTGGTAGTTCATGAATGACCTTAAGCATTCTTCCAGATTGTTTTGGACCCTGATAATTAAGAAGCTTCTAGCTCTAGTGAATTGGCAATGGAAATCTCCCAAAGCAGAGTTGTCTGGTGACAGAATAAAGCAGGGCTCCTCCCTGCTTGTGGAGGTAGAATATTGCTGCTGTGTTGCCTGTGAGGACTAATGGGCTATTTCCCTTGATGTACAGCAGAAAATTCTGCTCTGTCATGGGAAAAATTCTTGCAAGAGTACTTCAGCTTGATGCCCACCATTGTAGAAGAACTCCTTCCAGAGAGCCAGTGTGGCTTCAGAGCTAAAAGGAGTACCATCGATATGGTATTCGTTCTTAGACAGCTACAACTGTAGACCTAGCCAAAGCCTCAGTATTTTTTCCCCCTGAAGTCACAGCCCCTATTCTTTGTTAGATGTAGTCTTACTAACAGATTCCACTGTGCTTTCCTTCCAAACTTACTTATTCAAAAGCATTATTGAAAAGGACAATCAGTCAGATTGTACTTCTTGCCCCAGCATGGTCTTGTTAGCACTGTGCATCCACTCTCCTGGCACTTGCATTGAAATTTTCAAATTCACTTCCACTTGACTTAGATCTTACCTCCCAAGATCATGGTATAAAGACTCTTCATTTAATGGCTACTGCAGGGCTAGCTATTAGGGACCAATCTAAACAAAGCCAGCCACTTGCACTACTTACCTTTCTCATAACACACAAACTAGAGGTGTCAGTGGAAATTAATAGGTAGCAGGTTTAAAACAAAAGGAAGCTTTTCTTCACACAATGCACAAGCAGCCTGTAGTACTCTTTTTTCTCTCTCTTCAGAGGATGTTGTGAAGGTCAAGACTACAACAGTGTTCAA